GAGCAACACAATACCTACAGTCAAGTGGAAACATGATTTGGACATGTTTTTCCACTAAGGCAACAGGATGACTTCATCATATTGAGAGGCCAATGGTAAAAGTCAAAAGTAACTGAGGAGAAACACTGAAAGCAGAAACATGGAGCAGCCAAACCAGACTCCAGACCTCAATTCTTCAGAACAACAGTGGAGGAGCTGAAGCTTTGACTTTTCAAGTAGCAGCCAAGGAACCTAAAGGTTGTAGAGTTCCTGTACAGAGGAGTGGCCCAAAAACCCATCCTGGATTGTGTTCAAACCTAGAGACCAACTACAAGAAATGCCTAAGTAACAAAAGTTTCTCTACCAGGAACTGAATCATGATTAGCTGTCAAAAAATAAACTTCAGTTTTAGTCACAAGTTTAAAATGCTAACAGAAACATAAAAAAGAACCTCCTACAAAAATGCCCCACTACAGTGAAATCCAGCAGTCAAAGTGCGGCAGTGGTTACCCAGACCTGCAGTTTTCCACCGGCAGTTTGATTTTTACTGAACAAAAAGAGCCTCAGAACCACAGTATTTATCAGCGGGGGGTGAAAATAACAAGGAGGAGCAGCATTCCACAGAACCGCCATCACGGTGTTTTCCATGTTGTCATAGGAAGCTGTTTTACACACACGCTCGCACACACACGCTCGCACACACACGCTCGCACACACACGCTCGCACACACACACACACACACACGCACGTTACCGTGGTTATCTCGGAGAATAACGTCAACTCCATATTTCCTCTGCATAGTTTTTTTTTAAGAGTTTTTAAATCTCAGGAGAACTCAACAGAAGAAAACATTTCCTCTGGAAAATAAAAGACATTCTGCTCTGGGATTCTGTTGGTCCAGTTAGTCCAGTCGCTCTGGTTTATTTACCACCATGATGCCATGCAAGAAAATCTCATTCTAAAAAAACAATAACTACAACAAAACCTGCTGGAACTGAACAGGTACAGTCACTCTCCAGACCGGTTCTGCTGCCGGACTTTGTTTTTAAAAAGAAACAACACAAAACTCTTTACAAAAAGTTTAATCTATCTCCGGCTTACAACTTTCTTACATTAACGTAAAACACATGACGTAGCTGCACTGAAGAACCAAATTAAAACATGTTTACTGCATGAGTACGAGCAAAAAACAAATCTATTAAAATAAACTCTAGCGAACCTACTCACGTTGAAATAAAGCTTCAGGCTGAGATTTGCATAGATGCTTCTGAGTAAAACAAAATGAAAAGGAAAACGGAAAGTTTCATTTTGGAGCAAAACAAGCCGAGAAATCTTTAGACACAAGGAGAGAATTATCTCAGACCTTATATTATAGGTCATTATTATCATTGTATTTATTGTACTGTTGTGTATCTGCACTGTGTGTTGTGTTGTTTTTGCACGTTATGTTCTGTGTTGCACCATGATCCTGGAGGAACGCGGTTTCGTTTCAATATGTACTTGTATGTACAGTATCTGAAATGACTATAAAACCTCTCTGACTCCGACTCTGATACAAAAGCTTCATTAATGTGTCGTTTTTATCCATGCTCTTCAGACTTTAGTTAAACCTGGTAATTCATTTAAGGTTATGCACATTTATAAAAGGTTCAAGGTTCTTTATTGTTATTTGCATCACACGTGGTACATGGGGTGGAACAAAATTGGTTACACCCAATAATAGCAAAAATATAAAGTATGAAAAAGAAATAGTATACAAGGATCTAAGACATACACTAAACACTAATAATGTAAAGGATGTTGTTGACCAGTTAAACCTTTATCTCTCAGCCTAGATAATGTTTTTTTGAGCAATAATAACACAACCATGTTATTGTTGATGTTTTGTTCTCATGTCAATTAGGGAGATTATCAGAGTCCTAAACCCCAGAGAACCACAGAGAAGATTCAGGCAGAGACACAGAGGTGCAGAAGTCTGCATCAACCCTACCTCAGTGAATCCAGAGACCTGCTGGTGGGATGTGAGGGACAATATGTCAGTGCTATCAAACTGACAACCAGGTATCTGTGTGTGCAACAATCATCATCTACAGCCTCGGAGTGAACATGTTCTACTGCTGGAGACACCATCAGCCAGAAGCATCTTGTTTGTGTCCACAGAAAACAGACATGTTGATGTTTCTGAAGAAAAACTGTTCAGTGAAAAGGTCCTCAGTGTGTAGCAGTGAACATTACACTGACGTGTCACTGGTTTGTAACTGGTCTTTGAACTGGAAATTATTTGTTTATTTTTATGCAAGAAAACTGCTTGGAATAGAAAAATACCAAAGTTAAAAAATAAAACATAATTTGTACTGTAATGTGTAACGTAATTTTATTCTTGTTAGAATTAATAGTAATTACAAAATTGGTACCGAAAAAAGAACCGTCCAGGAACCGACACCGAAGTGAAGGTACCGAAGTGAAGGTACCGACACCGGTACTGATTTTTTTAGAAAGGTATCCAGCCCTAGTTATGCATGACTATGTGTTATGTATGATTCATCTACAACCACGGCTAATTTTAGTCTAAAGTTTGTAAAGACATTATCTCAGGAACAACTAGACACATTTTGTCAACTATCATAAAAAAAAAACATGCATGTTGACCACAGTGCTGAATATTTTGCTTCTTTTGGCTGCTCTCTTCTTCAGGGGTCGACACAGCAAACTAAGTTGCACCAAGATTTTGCAATTATTTTTACACCGGATGCCCTTCCTGACGCAACCCCAGACCACCGAGCTACCACAGCCCTCTGCGTGGCGCAGAGAGCTGCTATCTAGGGTGGCCGGGGGAGCAGATGGTGGGGGTGGACCTATCCCACCCACATGTTTTTTGATGTTGTCGGTACCGGGAGTTGAACCGGCAATCTTCCGATCACAGGCCCACCACCTTCTCTAACCTCTGTGCCACCACTCTCTACACAGTGATGAAGTAAATAAAACTAATTAAACATGATCAAAATAATAAAAACCCATTTAAAACTGATAAAATTCATAAAAGTCTATTATTTAAAAAAATATATATAAAGATCAAAATAAAATTTCTAACCCAAAACAAAACTAGATTAGGAACGATTACTTGTCAAACTACAAGAACCAAATGCCCATAAAACAAGTTTCAACCGGCTTCAAATGGATCTGAGCAGTTCTTGCCTGGATCGGTATCAAGTGATCCACAATGTGAGACCACTGCAGAGGTCCGACCTCAGTTTGGCTCGTGGGACGCCTAAAAGGATCTGATTAATGGACCCGAGTGCTCCTGTTGCACCATGACGGTGAAAGCAGCCCGATTCAAGACGGATGTGCAGCTAATAAACTGCAGCAAACAAAAACATGTCCACAACTGGTCCAATTTACAGATACTGAGCTAAAATACTGAAGGTCATCTTTAACACAAAGTAATCAGAGCGCTACACAACGTGTCAGATGTTTAAAACTCTGACATGCAGGGCGGCGGGTGAAGCGCATTCCTTTAAAAAAAAGCTGCAGTTTAATTTTCAGCGGGACCTAAATTTGACCTGTCCAAGTCAAACGTTTAACCCTCTCTGTTCTGATGAATTACTGAAGTCACTTCAACACCAAAACTTTTAACGTCACCGTACGTGCTGCACCATCAGGAAGTCATATTTATACATTTCATCATCAAACCCAACCACATTTCTGTGAAAGATGCGCAGACCTGGACAGAAACAACCACATTAAACTGATGCAGTAAAGTTTAGAAGGAGATTCACATAAAATCTACTGACAACAAAACTGTAGTTTTAATATTTAAATCCTGAACTTTTCTTCTGACCCTCCCAGGTACAAACTCCCTTCCTTACTCATGTTGCATAAGAGCAGCCGAGCATTACCGGATTTTTCAGATTATAAGGCGCAATATTAATGAACGGGTCTGTTTTCATACATAAGTCGCATTAAGCGAAACAAAACAGTCAGAAAAGTCAAACTTTATTCAGCTCACTCACAATAACCACATAAAATCAGTTCGAGGTTAGTAAGCACAACCAGAATTAATACATAAAGCGCACCGGATTATAAGGCTCATTGTTGATTTTTGAAAAAATTACAGGATTTTAAATGTGCCTTATAGTCTGAAAAATACGGTATTAATCCCTGCAAAGACAGCAGGACGGTCATTACTGCTGAAGCAAGCAGAACCACATGGATCCACTTCATCTGAGACGGCCAGAACCAACAGTGTTATAAATGAGTCCAGAGCATCAGACAAAACTATCCTGCAACTTTTTACTGTTTGAAACTAATCTGTGAGAAGGATCCAACTAAAGTAAAGACGCACTATAAAAAGCACAACAACACTTATATTCGTTTGGTTTTTGGGTCACATTTCGTTTACGCTTTGTTCCGTTCTCATTGGGTCTGAAGAACTCTGTTGTACGAAAAGCCATTTATAAATAAAGTTTTAATGCTGCTGAAAACAACATGTTTTTTTATGTGGTTTAAACATTTTTAGATCAAAATATGAATATTTGTTTCAACTAAACCCCAAATCTTAAATGTTATTCTTTTAAACTGTTTTAGCTCCAATTCTTCATATTTATCTGAATATTCTAACTAATGTCTCCATTTTGATTTGAAGCCAATTAAAAGTGTTTACATTTACAGATTTTATTTGCTGTAACAGTTTTTAAGTTAACGTCAAACTGTGTTGAATTTTAGACGACAGGAATCTGCTTCCAGCGTCTTGGAGGACCGATGGGCACAAACTATTGACCGGTCCTGCAAACGTTTCGACTTATAAAATCAAGGAGAAAAAAATAAAAATAAATCACAGAAACATTTAAAGAATAAAGAAAATTTTAAATACTGCAGCTGGTTCACATTTGAAATGGGAGAAACTCTCAGAGAAACCAAATAAAAACCAGCAGGAATGAACCAGGTGAGCCTTTGTGCTCCTGCCCAGAGTTCATTGTCTGATTTGAAACTTTTGGAGACTAATAAAGAAAAACAAACAGACCTTTCCTCTCTCCAGTGAAGGGCACGATGTCCTCTCTGTCCTTATGATCCATGGCTTCTTTCTCCAGATATTTGAGCAGGCGGTCCCGGTTGAACGGGCCCGTGGCTTCCTTCGTGGTCTGGTCTTTCTGTCGCAGACCGGCTGGAAGTAGTGCATTCTGGGAAGAAAACACACAGAAGACTTTGAAATTTGGCGTCATGGTCGCGTTTTTGAAAACTCAAAGCATTTTTTAAGGATTCCTTAGGGAAAAACAAACGGACTTCACTCATTCATGCTTTGAGAACAGATTTACACAGAAAATGTGAAATAAAAAGTCTAAATTGTTTAAGAGCACAGCTTCAGAGCTGTTCAGTTCCAGTCCCATCTAATCTGTTCCCAGAATTAAAACGGGCTGCGCTGCTCTATAAACCGAGCTGAATACAGACTTCTGACAGGGTGCTCTTAAACTAAAAGCTTCCAAACAGAATAGTGACCAGCTGCTAATACAAGTATTTGCTCATGTACAGAAATAAACAAAGTGGTTGAATAAAGCTCATCAGAATGTCCATGGAAGAGGCGTTTAGGATGGCGACGTCTGACAGTCTGAACGTGTCGGTGCGTATTTATGCTCAGATTGAGTAAAGTCTGCAGATAATCTGTAGTTTAGGCTCAAACTGTAAACGTCTGGCTCTAGAAGTTTTGTGGTTCAGTGCAGAGTTCTCTTTATGGCGCTCCACCGTCCTGCCAGTTGTTAAACTCCTCCTTTGGCGTGTAGCTGCAGATTCACTCTTTAACACCTAAAAATCTTCCCGCAGACGACTCGCTGTGACGTTCTCATCCATCCAATAATTCATTCCAAGCCGTATGGATACTAGCTCGATGGGATGTTCAGCTTGTTGCTTCTGCTCCAGGAATAAAAAAATGTTTTTATTGTGTTTCTGAACAAAAACAAAAAGTGATGAGCGTGTTCTCCTGGGAACCACGGTTTGAATCAGAAATACGACCGGTCCTGGAACATTTTAGGTGACACCTGTTGTGAACATGGATGTGTGGAAACCTAGAAATATTTGTCAAGTCAGCCTGCAGATACTGAAACCAAACAGTTTTTCTTGTCGGCACGGTTTTTGGCTCTACAACAAGTTTTATGCAAATCTTTGACCAAACTAAGAAAGTTCTTCGTGTGTTCTGATATTTCATCAGCTTGGACTCCATTACAGCCTTGGTGTATTTTAACGGGTTGTAATACATCAACATTTACCTACATTTGTAAACACTTAATAAAATTACTATTTTGGAGGTTGTGTGAACGAGCAGCTCTGATTCTGTCAGGTGGAGAGACGGGGTGTTTTTCAGTGCGTGGCCCCACTGAGGAGGGACAATATTTGGAGAGGAGGAGAGAAGGACTCTGCGCAGAATCTCTGTGCGTAAGACCATCTGTCCCTCCGTCCTCACCCTCCTGCTCCTCGAAGGAGCGTGTAGCTGGTGCGCTGCGCGTGCTGCGGCTGGAACATCCACAGACTGGGTCCACCGGGCTAAAGGAAACGTCTCCTCTCGTTGTATTTTTAATAAATAGCTAAATAAAAATGCGTGATGACTTTGAACTTTTAAGGGCAGAGATGCTGGATCCGATCAAAGAGTTGTTGGAACAGAACGGGTCAAAATGAGAGAGTTCCCGGATCTTGTTCCAGCAGGATCCAGCCCAAATTAACCACTGGGCGGGGGACACCCTGGATAGGTCTCCAGTCCATCACAGCGACAGAGCCAAATGAGACAAACAACCATTCACACTCTCACTCACACCTGGGGACAATTTAGAGTTACCAATCAGCCTAACATGCATGTTTTTGGTCTGTGGGAGAAAACGGGAATACCCGGAGAAAACCCACTGCACGGAGAGAACATGCAAACAGGTCTCGGGCCGGGATTTGAACCGGCGACCTTCTGACTGAGAGGCAACAGCTCTACCAACTGAGCCCATGTTTAAAAAAATCCAGAGTAAATGGACAACTTTTACAGAAAATGTATTTTGTTGAATATAGGTAATTTTTATGTCATCAGGTCACAACTGTATAAAATCTGAAAAGTTACGGGCCAACAGAACCAAACATGGTGCATCTTTATTTTACACAGTTGTGACAAGCAGCGTTTTATTTCCTCAAGAGCAGGAAATGGTAAATAAATGGTAAATGGACTGTACTTACCTTTCTATCTTATCAGAAGCACTCAAAGCGCTTTACAACACAATATGTGCCCTCATTGACCCATTCATACAGCACTCTACTAGATCTGTACAAAGAATAATCAGAGCTTTATCACATTCATACACTGATAGCACGCATCGGAGGCAAAGAGGGGTTCAGTGACTTGCCCAGGGACACTTCAGCAAGTGACTGCTTGTGGAATCGAACCCCCAACTCTCGCACTGGAGGACGACTGTTTTAACCACTCGGCCACAGCTGCCCCAAGGAAGTGTAGTTTAGTAGAAGAAAACCGTCCAACGTTAAATGTTTTTGATTTCAGTGAATCTAAATCCTGTTCATTTCATATTGCCTGTAGATGTGAATCAGAACAATTCACGGTTTCACAATTTCTTTACTTCAATAAAAACATCATAAAAACAACTTTTTCTTTCCCCAAGTCCTCACAGCCCAGGAGGTTTGTCGAGGCCTCACTGACCTCAGGGTCCATCTCCTCGAGGGCCATCTCCAGCTGTTTCAGGTCCTCGGCCGACAGCTTCCCGAGGATCTCGTCTTCATCGATGTCCTTGTACTTGCCAAGATCCTTCTTGAACGGCAGCGCCATGATGGCTAAAGCTTGCTCGGAAACACTGAACAGCAAACTGCAGCCACGCTGGTTCTGGTACGAGGGATACCTGAGGGGAGAACGAGGAACACATCAGCTCATGATGTCAACAAACAAACATACAAACAGTAAAATCTGATTCCAGGCTGAGGTGACCACTGATTATCTCGTCTCCGTGAAACAATTGGCTGAAGAACATCTGGTTCTGCAGTGCACACAGCTGGAACAAAGGTCCAACTTTCGCAGGCTCACACAGATCATCTGACTTCTCCTTTAAACAACTCATGAACACAAATCAGGAGCAGATTTGTAAAACATCAGCAACAACCGGACTTCAACAGAATATGAACGTTTCATTTTCTTCTGAGACTGAAGGCTTGAATTTAAACCACCAGTTCACATTCAGTAAACTTCAGAGAAGTGGAACATGAATGGATAAACTGTCAAACATGAAGGAGGCTTCAGTGTTCAGTTCCCTGTCCCACGCCCCCGGTCCGGACTTTAAGATGACCTCAGCACTTCCAGATGTCCTGCAGGACTCCACATAGGCTTTAATTCTTATAAAGCTGTACATTAATCAGAACATTCACCTAAACAAATGCCACCGTTTCATGTCTGAATAAAAAATTTATTTTTGCCAAACTGACAACGTGTTTGTGTAAACAGAACTTTTGATTGTTGTTAAATAAACTGGAACAAGCTGAAAACCTGCAAGGAAGCAGAAAATTACTTTACTAAACCGTAAACCACTTGTCGTGTAAAAACCCGTCTGTGATGTAAAAAAGACCAGGGACGTTTGTGGTTTAAAGGATTGTTTCCAACATTTGGTGCCAGTTCCTCAGCCTGCTCTACGGTCCGGTTTGCATCTCTGCTCACTTCCTTGTTTCTACAATCTTTGCTTTGTCCACGACTGATTCGTCCCCTCACCTCCCCTGTTAGTCCACATTTATCTCTAAAATCAGAGTCAGAACAGGAGCATTTGTGGAGCTGAGCAGCAGCAGATGAAGCTCAACACAATCAGAGCACATGGTTGTAATAATCCACGACAACAATCTCAAGCAGGGACCACTAGGCCCTGCAAACAGAACCAGAACAGTTTTACATTGTTTCACATTAGGACACGGTCAATGAAAGGACTTATTTCGCAGAGCTACAAATACTGGCAACTTGTTGACAAACAGCATTCAGGAGGGAGTCTTAAAGGGTTTTGCAGATTTCCTCATTTCTTTGCGCGAGTCACAGGTTTGCAGTCTCATCGCTTGAGTTTGAACACAGCTCAAAATGAATAATATTAAATAAAAGACTGGTCCAAATCCACCCACTGCTACAGCGGATTAAACCACCAACCTGAGGTGGTACAATCAGGGACTGACAACAAAATCATGTGCACAGCAAAGAATACAACAAAGTCCATGCTCAATAATCCAGGTATACAATCCAACATTTTTCACTCAGGTCATCTGGACAGTTTTTTCTTTGTGCTGAAACGTTTCACCTTCGATCCGGAAGGCTTCATCAGTCAAGGAAATGCACAAAACTGATTCTTCTCCCAACAGCTTACTCCAAAGTGGAACAAACCAGATTATTGAGCATGGACGTTGTTGTTTTCAACCAGTTTGACAAGACTGTCAACAAGGAAGAGGGCCGGCAATGGAGGTGGGGGCTTACCAAAGAAACCATCTTAGCACCAACAAAACTGGTTTGTTCCACTTTGGAGTAAGCTGTTGGGGGAAGAATCAGTTTTGTTGTGCGTTTCCTTGACTGATGAAGCTTCTGGATGGAAGGTGAAACGTTTCAGCACAAAAAAAGAAACTGTCCAGATGACCTGACTGAAAAATGTTGGAGCAAAGAATACAGTTTTACAAGTGTGATTTTTAAAAATTAACTGTTCCAAGCATGGTTCATGAGCCAGACTTCAGAAAATGAGTAGATTTTCTTGCAATTTAGAGTCTCCAACTGTGAGACCTGACTAAGAAATAATAAGACGGTAAATGAATTCACTGACAGTAAATCCAGCCCAAATGAAGACGTCGAAAGAATCCCTAAAATCGAAAAGGTACAAACAGCCATGAGACAAACCAAGCAAAGCTTTTTAACGTTAGATAATCCTTCTCAGATTGGAAATATCTCATCCATCTCGGATGGATAAAACCTAATCTGCATGATGCAAACATCAGCAGTCACCCGTGCTGCCTTCAGGGGCAGGTTTGTTTCTCGTGATTTTTCAAACCCTCCCACGTTTCCAGTTTTTATCTAAACAAAGAAGTTTTACTCTGAAACACTAAGATCAGCAGAGGGGAAAAACACATGTTTGACAATTAGCTTCAGATCTGAAACGGTCTCGTGTTCGGTCTGATCCAGGGTTCGGCCTCCAGCAGCTACTGGGCTCCAGGGGTAATGGAGCATGCAGACAGGGATAATGAGGAGTTCAGGCCGAGGCGGAGACACTCAGAGGATTCATTAGTCCAGCCTGATCGATTCCTTTCTCCTCCATTTTCTCTTAATCCTTCAGAACAACAACAGACGACTCCAAGCCAACAATACTGAATACACTCCACCAGAAGCTTTCCCTCTAGCTGCTGAACGTCCCACAAACAACTTCACCAGACAGGACGCAGAATTTTTAGTTTTCTAGACTACAAAACATAAAACAGCAATAAAAAGGCTTTTGAGTCATTTCTGATAATTTCCTGTGAACTTTTGTCCAGCTTTTCTCTTATTATTGTACATTTTTAGCTACATTTAACACACAGACTTACTAAAAACTGAGAAAAACATTCTTCCAAACAGAAAATTCAGAGATTTCCAGGACTTTTATTCCATTTCCTGTTTGGACAAGTTGTAGCACAGTTAGCACGCTCTGTCAAAAAAAAAAAAAAAGGTATTTCATATAATCTTGTAAAATGGACACTTCCTGTAATTTGACACCCATGTTAAAATGTTTGTTAGCTTGAAATATGCTCAACTGGAGCATATTTTTAAAGCAGGTCTCTTCAGTCTGGGTGAGCAATTTGAAACAAACATTGAATATTTTTAACCTAATTTAGTCTAAAGTTCTTGGACGTAGAAGTCTTAAAGGTACTTATTTTAACACGAGGACTTTGGGGCCAGATGGAGATGATCCAAGGGCCACTTATGGCCTTCAGACCACGTGTGGTCCAAAAGGTTCTTAATCAGAAACTAAAACACTGATGATCAAAGCTCAATGTGGGAAGTGACCCAATTATTTTCATATTTCACTTAAATAAGTTGTGAAAAATAGCTCGGCTTGTCGGAGCAAATTTTTTACGTTTTAACTAATTATTTTAATAAGTTCAATGGGAAAAAAGTTTGGAAATACTAAATGTTTCTCCAAACTCGTCCAAAATTTATCCAGACCTGAAAGAAACTCAAACAAACTCGGCGCTGAAACCAGAGATAAGAATTCGGACCTAAAATCTCATTTTCTGTCACCAACAGGAAACAGGAGGACATGCCCGAGTTCAAAAAAATCATCTTATTCATAAAATCTCAGGTTCAAAACCCAAACCTCAACAGAGAAAGTTCAACAACAATAAGAGCATTTTGTCAAAGAATATCCAGTTTCCCTGAATCATTTAAGACTTTAGAGACAAAAATCAATAAATAAAATCGATTTTTAACGATGATGCAGGAAGCAGTAGGTCGAGTTATTACAGAACAATGCTTCGTCTGCAGATATGCGACTATAGTTAGAACAACTGGGCCCTGCGGCCCGTGGGACGCGGTTCTGTACGTCCTCCTCCAGTTTTACTCCCTTCTTTGTCTCTCCACCCTGTTTTACCCTCCCTGGTGGTTTCTGTTCTGAACTGAGCGGAAATTATAGAAACCAGATGGAAGGAGCAACAAAGACCTCGTCTGAAACAGAAAATGGAAAATAAGAACAGAATGCAGAGATTTAAAAATCTCACAAACCCGTCTTTATTCACAGTGAAACAAAGTAAACGTTAAAATGTTGAAGCTAAAAAAAATTGAAGCATTTTCAGAAGAAAAACAAACAAGGCAACAGGTCTGTAAAACGTTTGTCCTCCTGGATCTTCTCAGCTGGATGGAACAGATGTTCTAAAACCTGCAGATGTTTTTCTGCATTGATGGAGCCTTTCCAGATGTGTCAGCTGCTCATACCAGAGGCACTAATGCACCCCCATACCATCAGAGAGGCAGGCTTTAGACCTGTGAGCAGATACCAGACTGGATGGTCCCTCACCTCTTTAGTTCAGAGGATGTGGTGTCCATCGTTTCCAAACAGAACTTTGGGTTTGGACCCGTCTGACCACAGAACAGTTCTGGACTTTACCTCAGTCCATTTGAAATGAGCTCTGGTCAAGAGAAGACGGCAGCGGTTCTGAATGATGTTCACATCTGTGAACAGAACCCGAACCAGACCTGGTTTTTATGCAGTGGCCCCTGAGGGCCTCGTCCTTTGAGCTCAGATTTCTACAGATTCTTCTCATCTGTGGATCAGATTATGAACTGGAGATGGAGATTAAAGTCTTTATTCAGGAACTTTATTCTGAAATTCATTCAGGAACTTTATTCTGAAATTGTTCCTCTAGTTTTAGACAGACTGCTGAACCTGTGCCCATCTTTACTTCCAACAGTCACCTCATCAGTTACTAAATGTTCCTCCTGGTTCTGATGTGGACCGCTTACTTGACCCTGGAATAAACACTTCCAAACATCCAACATTTTTTCAGTCAGGTCATCTGGACAGTTTCTTTTTTTTGTGTGCTGAAACGTTCCACCTTCGGTCCGGAAGGCTTCATCAGTCAAGGAAACGCACAACAAAACTGATTCTTCCCCCAACAGCTTACTCCAAAGTGGAACAAAACGTTTCAGCAGAAAAAAAAAAGAAACTGTCCAGATGACCGGACTGAAAAATGTTGGATTGTATACCTGGATTAGTGAGCATGGACTTTGTTACTTCCAAACATGTTGCTGCTATAACATAAACAGATTATAGAGAAGAAGAAAAAAAAAACTTTAATGTTTGACATGGAGACAAACAATCTCCTCCAAGTCTTATTCAGAAGTGGAGCATCTCTTTGACAAACACCTGATTTGTATATTTCTCAGGTGTGTCCGCCCACATTATGAATTCCTGAGGACAGGTTTGATGGAGCCCAGCACAGGTGGCTCTGCAGTGAGTAGAGGACTCATACTGCAGGTTTAAGAAAGCTTAAATTATTAAATTAATCCCTCCCAGCATCAGTCTCAAGTATGCAGAAACACAAAGCTCAGCGGGACCTCTTGGGATTTAAATCTAACGTCCTGAACCACACCCTTCATTCACACTAAGCCTTGTGGGTCAGCTGTGTCCCTGTGAGGACAGTCCTTACACCGACCTGTCCTCCCCATTGGACCGAGTCAGCTTTTAAAAACACTGAAGCTCTTGTCTTTAGCAGGGACAGAGGACACGTGTCTTGTCTCCCGACAATGGACAGCAGATAAACCCAGTCAATCAGCAAAACACCGAATAATCAACTAGCTCGACTGCTAGAATGAGCAAAACTTGCTTTACTGTATTCATAAAGGTGGAAATAGTTAACAGGCTGATTCATTCAGGAGGCGTTAGCTTAACTCACATGTTTACTGTGGCTTTTAGCTGAAAATAAACGTGTTTATTTAAACAAATATGAACGAAAAACTTTACAGCCAGAGGAAGACGTTAACTGGATACTTTCCCTGAAACTTAGCCAGACGCAGCATGATGATGGATGAAATGAGGCTAACAAACTAGCATTAGCTGTTGGGCTAAAGCTACGGAAAACAGCGGATTATAATCCCCGGAGTTATGTGGATATTTTCAATCCGCGCAGCTCTGCCTGTTTCCTTACCTGAGTTTAACAGGTCTCAGTGAGGGGAACAGTCCGGAAAGCAGCCGCGATTCTCCAACTGAAGGCAGCTGCGGGTTTCTATGCGGGTCTGTCTCAGTCCAACCCAAGGGCGGTGACACCGGAAGAGAGAGCCGAGGCGCTCCTCAAGTGACGTCACGCTCAGCCAATAGAAAGAGAGGGTTTCCAGTGTGGACCAATGAGATCATTTATCCCGCCCTTTAACTCATCTTTACATAAAAATCAATTTAAACCATATTATAGTTACAGTATTCTTTTTTTTTTTTTTTTATATACAAAATTGTAGATACGACAAAAGCAAAAGCGGTGTACGTTAATAAGACAAGCCCAAAAAGTTAAGGCCAGTTAGGGCTTTTTTCACACAAAATGGTTTAGTAAATGTATGTTTTATGCTTAATTTTATAATAAATTTAAGAAATTACTCATTTAGATGCCATTTGTCCCATAATAAATTAATAAATCAATGTATTTTCTTGTTTTTAGTACTGACTCAGTAATTTATCTGTGTTGCAATCTCCTCAAAGTAAAACACCTTTAGACTCTGGGTTGATAAGAAAAACTGAGTGTAAAACCTAAAACCTGTAAAAGTGTCTGACTGCACCTGCAATGAATGTCTCTCGAGATGCAGTGAGACTAACCTGGATAAATAAAGGTTGAATTGAATTCAATTGAATGTGTTCTATAATCATGTAAAAATACAAAACAGTTTTGGACCATTTTGTCTTTTGCTGAGTTACACTCTGTGTTTATCTGGTATAGATTTATCTAGATCCTCAGTTTTCACAGAATTCACAGAAAACAGAAACTGGTGAAGAGATTTCTTAATCATCAATATCTGTAAAAGTTAAATGAAATCAGATTAATTACAATAATTTATTTAAAAGGTGGCAAAATGTAAAAAATGGAAACTTTATGCAAAACATTTATCCACACACTCCTATTTTGTGGTTTTGTTTGATTTTACTTGCAATAAAAAGCATTACTTGAATAGCAAAACATTAACAACAAAGTCCATGCTCAATAATCATTAAGTTTTTTACTGTGATTTTTCTAATGTTTTAATTTTTGTCAAGTCCTCTTGACAAATTAGGTACTGAAATAATAATATTTTTTGGTGAAAAATATTTGTCAAAGCTATTTTTTAAACTAGGGCAGCACGGTAGCGCAGTTGGTAGAGCTGCTTCCTCTCAGCAAGCAGGTCACCCCGGTTCAAATCCTGGCCGGGGACCTTTCTGGGTGGAGTTTGCATGTTCTCTCCGTGCATGTGTTGATTTTCTCCAGGTACTCCAGTTTCCTCCCACAGACCAAAAACGTGCATGTTGGGCTGATTGGTAATTAAATTGTCCCTAGGTGTGAGTGAGAGAGTGAATATTTGTTTGTCTCTATGTGTCCCTGTGATGGACTGGAGACCTGTCCAGGGTGTATCCCAGCCCCTCACACAGCAATTGCTGGACATGGGCACCAGCGACCATAGTGACCCAAAATGGAAGAAGCGGGTAAAGATAATGGATGGATGATAATATAATCACAGAAAGTTGGATTTTTACTTTGTTAGGCTGCTTGAACACTTTATATAACAGTGGTTGTATTTCATAAAAGCTTTGCCCTTTAAGGCTATAGCTAGTGGGTTTACCCTCACGCACGCAGCACTGCACTGAAAGCTTTAGTCCACGCCCACCTGCTGTGTGGGCCTCACCATGGTCTGTTTAAATTGCCCTTAGACCGGGGATAGGCTCCCTTATTTTCTTCAGCCAGCAAGCAGCATAAAGAAAACTAAAGAACATAAGTCACCTGTGTCCAGCCTGCAGGATGGGGTGCATCCTCAGCTCCGATCTACAAGCCATCTGTGAGGGTTGCCTCGGAGCAGAACACGCAGGTCAAGTCTTAACACCACAGACTTCCTGTCCATCCTGCAAGCTTCCCACTCGAGGAGAACCAATGCGGGGCGGCCAGCTTCGCTTCAGGTGAAGAGCATTTTCAGCTTCCAGAATGCTACCCGCTGGACAAGGCCCTCGATTTTGTAGGTGCGAGGCAGGATTCAGACATTTCTGCCTCAGACGAGGAGTCACTTAGCAGCTTTGCTCCCTCCTCCTGGACAGGAGGGCTGGAGACAATGTTGCCTTCGAGAAGTGGACTTTCGGGCATCCCATTGTCAGTGACCACCCCCTCCCAGTAATTGGTGCACTCGTACATGCCCTGCCTGAAATAATTCATAGGGTAGCGAGCACTAAAGGTATGACTGTGGCAGAACCACTAGCTTCACTGTCTCCGGACGACTTGGCGGAAAAGTTTGCCGTCCCGCACTTCAGTCGTCGAGATCCAGTCTGGTCTCATTTTCCAGCCGTGACAGCATACTTGTCTGGATCAGAAACCAATTCGCTGAAACTGAGAGCGCCTGCCTCCACCTCCATCATGAAGGTAGAGGTGCTCACCTACAGGGGGTTCCTACCTGTTTCTTCTCTAGAACCAAGCCTGACTATTGTTTTCGGGGTCAGCACATCAGATGGCGGCCTGTGCCCCCGTCCCCCAACAACCAGCTCACAGTCAGACTCACTGACCAAGCGCACCAGTGCACGTCTCAGTCAGCTGCAGTGACTAACAACATGGTTGTGCTATCTGTCAGCATCTCTAAAAGCTAAGGAGCTGTATCTTCCACCAGAGGACCAGGAGGAGTTCTGCAATGCTGCAAACACCATTTTGAATTTGTGTGCAGCCTGTGTGCACGGCTCGCATCCTGACCTGGGCGACTGTGCTACTGCAACAGATGTGGCTTCGCCTCTCCTCCTCCATTCCTGAGGAGATGAAGAAAGAACTGCTGGAAGGGCCCATCAGTTGGGACGGACTGTTCATCCCCCTTTTCCAGTCGGTGTTGGAGCAAATGCAGTCTTCTTCAGATGCACTGGAACAGGTCCGGAAACATGTGGTGCAGCCTCGTTTGGACCTCCACACCTTTTTGCTCCTGGTCGCAGGCAGACTGCCAGGACCAGCGGCAACAACACAGATGCTCCACAGCTGCAGCTGCAGCTGCGTCTTCCTGGGCCCCCTTGTAGTGACCATCTCCCCTTGATAGAAACCGCCACAGCAGCTGATGCTTCAGCTGAGCTTCAGAGGCCGTCAGATGCCGTGTTCCTGGTCCAATCCACCTCAGGAGAGATCACGGAGACAACCTAAGAAATTACTTTTTCAAAGATTCAAGGATTCAAGGTTCTTTATTGTCATTCGCATCGCATGTGGTACATGATGTGAAATAAAATTGTGTATACAGGGTCCCAGTTACATCCAACAATAGCAAAAATATAAAGTGTAAAAAGAAACAGTAAATAAGGATCTAAGATATAAGATATAAACTAAGACATACGCTAAACAAATGCCGAATGGTACGCTAAAAGATCTAAGATATACTTTAGTCACTAATAGTGCAAAACAATACACCAAGCAACAGCAGCACGATTCTCATAGGTTCTGTTGGGCTCTAATTTACACGCTTACTGCGAGCGGAGTTGGGCTCGGAGCCCCAAAACTAACATAAACTGGGATTTATTCAAAGCATGCAACAAAGAAACAGACAGAAACAAGGCGCCAAAAGTGAAAAAGAAATAAATCTACAGCAGCATGGTCCTATTGGCAGAGTGGTTCTGATGACAGTGAGGTTATCTTAGCTACATAGTCCAGTTAGCGGCATGATACTGTTAGCGGTGTGGTTCAGTTAGTGGCATGTTCTTGTTAGCAGAGTTCGCATGTCTTGTTAGTTGGTCCCATCAGAAGCTTGGTGATGATAAGGACCGCAGCAGCTGCCCTCCCAGACTGCCCTCCAGAACCGGGTCCGGCAGACCGAGAACATCAAAGGTTTCCCCGTGGAACCGAATGGGTCCATAGAGTTCGGTCGATACAGGCAGATGCAGGATCATGGAGACAGCTGCCTTGACAGGCCTGAGCCCAAGGATGGAAGGACTGAACCACGATGGCACGATGGCACGATGGCAAGGCAGCGACACAGAAAACTCCACAAGTGTTGTGGTCCTACCCGTAGGTGCAAAAAAAATTTAAAACAAAAAGAACAGGAACAAAAAAGATTGAGTTCACCATTTAGTCCATATTTTCCAAAATATGACTTTTTACCACTAAAAGTCATGAAATTTTTAAATATTTTTTTTAGATTTGAAGATAGTTTATTTAATCTAAATCATGATGCGTTGGCACTCAAGCCAAGATTCACATTTTTCAAAAGTGAATCAAAATGTGAATGAGAAAGAAGCAGCATTGTATCATCAGCAAACATGATTGGTGAAAGAACATTGGAAACATTTGCTAAATCATTTACGTAAATCAGAAATAACAATGGTCCAAAAATGGAGCCTTGAGGAACTCCACAAAGTATCTTAGTTCTGTTAGAATTACAACCCTTAAAACTAAGAAATTGCTGCCTATTGCAAATATAACTATTCAACCATTTGTAAACGATACCATGAAAACCATACTTGTAAAGTTTTATGATGATTCACAGTCTCAAATGCTTTTGATAAATCAATGAAAATACTACGGGAGAATTCATTATTTTTAATTGCAGAGGTAACATTGTCAACCAGATGAAGCAAAGCCATATACGTAGAGTGATTATTCCTAAAATCATATTGGTGTTTGTAAAGAACTGAATTATGGTCTAAATAATGGAGGATCCTTTCATAATTTTATTCATAATTTTCAAATCACAATTTTTTTCTAGTATTTTTTAAAAAACATGGCAGAACAGATATAGGTCTCTAATTATCAAAACAATGTGGAACGTCAGCCTTGAACAGAGGAATAACTTTAGCAACTTTCAAATGGTCTGGTACAATCCCAGCTTTTAGAGATAAAGAAAACATTTAAAATGAACTGCTTCACCTGTTTGACAAGAAATGTAGCAATATTATCATGACCAGCAGAAGACACTTTAAGTTTATCAATTATATCACTTATTTCTTGTGTATCAGGAGGATCAAATGAACAGAACACAGAGAAATTACCCTGTATAAAGTCTAGTGGATCACCATGACAAGGAGGAATTTTCTGAGCTAGTTCATAACCAGTACCAACAAATAAATCATTGAACTTTTCAGCTATATCAAAAGAATTTGTAAAAGATGACAAACCATCTGAAAATATAGAAGGTAACTCTGGTTTTCTTTAGTCTCTTTGTAACAAAGGATTCAACACTTCCCAGGTTGTCTTCCCAGACTTCCCAGGTAGCTTTAATATCACTGCAACACTTAAATTTAGCACTAAAATATTTCTTCTTTTCAGCTTTAATAAGATAATTATATTTATTTCTGTAAGACTTATAAACACGGTAGGTAAGAGACCACTACTGAATCTGACTTCAAGCCGAGATCTTCCCTGGTTTTAAATATGTCATCCTGAATGTAAAGAAATACTCCACCTCCAGTTCTGTATTTTTCTCACGTAATGAACTGAACTGTAACCAGGTATTTAAAGTGTTCATTCGAGTTTTCTTTTAGCCATGTCTCTGATAAAGCAATGACTGAAAAACTGAGTTTCAACATAGATAAAGCATGAATGAACTGATCATATTTACAAGGTAAACTTTGTATATTTAAATGAAAAGTGGAGAATATATTATAATCTACTGAACCACATGTCATTAAAATGAGATCTGATCAAATTTTTCATTCAATCTTTATTTAGACAGGTAAATTCCATTGAGCCTCGAGGACTCATTTACAAGAGAGACCTGAAATGATGAGAAAAAATTATTGTCAGGGTCCAAGTCAGAATTGTACAGATTTTTTTTCGTACGCATCAAAGGGCTTTTGTGTCTCATTTTTAGAGTGAGATTTATTGGAGTCCATTGTATGAAAAAGAAATAAGGACGAAGCCTATATGAAATAGAACGTTAGTTACATACTGTAACCCCAGATTCTATAAGTATAGGCACAGCCTTTTAAGATCTGAGCCTCACTGGCTCCTAAATGGCTGAAGAAAAGAACTCTATTTGGGAGTTGATCCCCGGTCTCAGAGCAATTTATACAGACTGCGGTGGGGCCCACACAACAAGGGTGAGGACTAAAATTTTCAGTGCTGTTGCACACAAGTGGTAAACCCACTAGCGATAGCCTTAAAGGGCTGCGCCTATACTCATAGAATCTGGTGTTACAGTAAATAACCAACTTTTTTTTTCTTTATTGTGGAGAAATGGAAAAATACAGCTTATTAATTAAATTTCAAAATAATTTAATTATTCTTTTCAAACACCTTTTTTTCCCATATGGTGAATGTTTTATAAATTTTACCAATTTAAAGGTGGAACACCTAAAATGTGTTGTAATTTTATGTTTATTTGTTTATTTGATCCCTGTAAATAAAGAAACTGTCTCTCTAGTGGCTCAAGTGTATCACTACAACAACCCGGAAGTAGAAGTTTTCCTGTGGCGTCACTTCCTCTGGGTCACGGCTTCCCACTGTAGAAGAAATGGCGGACATGGACGAGCTGTTTGGAAGTGATGGAGACAGCGACAACGATCAAAGAGGTAATTTATTGTTACACGGAGGGTTGTTTTTGTAACATAAATTTATCTTTAACGTTTCTGAACTTTTAAAACCTAAAAATAAAAAATAAAATTTAACACATAATCGGTAAAAGTTATCAACCTTTTTTTTCCCACATCAGTTTTAAAGAGTTTACTCCATCCAGTAAGTTTCCAGATTTATTTGAATGTTAATTGTGAAATGCGGGTATGCACTTAATGTAAGCACAGCACTCGCTGAACAAAATCAGGTGGAAACTGGAGTCACTGACTGACCCACATCAGGTCGGCTGTAGTCTGTGTAGGTGATCAAATATGGAGGAATGGGACAAGAGTAGAATCTGGAAGAAGACTATTAAATATCAGAGTGTATCTGCTGCTAAACAAAAAAAGAAAGATAAAATCAGACGACTGGAGTAAATATCGTGGGGGGTGAGACCCATAAAGACAGAGCTCAGTGTTCAAGCAATAACTTCTTTTTAAACGTATTTTTAACATCTGCAGATGTTGGTCAAAGGAATGAAAGTCAGTCAGTCATAGTAAGACGGAGTACGTGTGTGAATGAGAGGGAGGCAGGTGGAAGGAGCAGAGGACACAAAGGTGCAGGACTTCAAGTAATTGTGGTCTACTGTCTGTCTGTGGAGAACTGACAGAACAACTGTGTCAACTCTTGAAACTGTGCCTGCAGTCAACCTACTTCACATATGGGGAGCAATATTATTATAGGCAGAAACATGGGTGTGCTATGGGGTCTCCAGTTTCTCCTATTGTTGCCAACCTGTACATGGAGGAGGTGGAAAAGAGAGCCTTGACATCCTTTTCAGGGACACCACCAAGTCATTGGTTCAGGTATGTTGACGACACCTGGGTTAAAATTAAATCTCAGGAAGTCCAACATTTTACTGACCACATCAACTCTGTGGATAAATACATCAAGTTCACATGAGAAGATGTAAAAAATGGCAGGCTGGCTTTCTTGGACTGTGAGGTCTCAGTCTCTGATGGAGGACATTTGCAAACCGAGGTGTACCACAAACCCACCCACACAGACCAGTATTTGCAGTTTGACTCCCATCACCCTTTGGAGCACAAGTTAGGAGTCATCAGGACTCTGTACCACAGAGCAGACAGCATCCCCACTAGCTCGGGAGCCAGGCAGAAGGAGAAATCTCACACAAGACAGGCTCTAGAGCAATGTGGATATCCTAACTGGACCTTCCTGAAAGCAGAGAAGAAACCCAAACAGGACTCCAGTCAGCCATCAGGTGAAAAGGAGGAACCCAGACCAGTGGTCATTCCGTATGTTGAGGGAGTATCAGAGAAACTGAGACGTTATTTTCTAAACATAACGTCCCAGTGGCTTTTAAACCCCAAAATACATTATGGCAAAGACTGGTTCGTCCCAAAGATCCAGTCCCCCGGCACAAACAGAGTAATGTTGTGTATGCTGTTCAGTGTCAGGAGGGCTGTGATCAGTCTTACATCGGGGAAACAAAACAGCCACTGGCCAAAAAGATGGCCCAGCACAGAAGATCAACATCATCAGGCCAGGATTCTGCGGTCTACACTCATCTCCAGGCCAGCGGTCACTCTTTCAGGGATGAAGATGTTCACATCCTGGACAGAGAGGAACGATGGTTTGAGAGAGGAGTAAAGGAGGCCATCTTTGTGAAAATAAACCGTCCATCATTAAACAGGGGTGGAGGCCTCCGGGTTCAACTGTCCCCCTCTTACAATGCTGTGATTGCTAGTATCACTCAGCCCTCTGTGAGTAGTAAACAGCCATCAGTGTGCTAATGATCCATCGTTAGGCTGATGGTCCTTCTTGATCATGTGAGCAGCTGGTTTTGGTTGTCAGCAGCAAAACTGGTTGATCCACTCTGAGAAGGTGCTATTTAAGAGACTGAGCTGAATACAGCACCTCAGACTGAGGAAGTCTTTCGGATGAAAGGCGAAACGTTTCTAGACTTTTTTGTTTTGCTTTGTTTCGTTTAATTGAATGTCCAGAGGACCAGATTTAACTTTTTTAGAATAATAATAGTACTTTATTTATATAGCACTTTTTAAAACAAATGTTACAAAAGTGCTTCACATTAATCAATTAAACCAACATAAAAAATGGCTTAAATTGTAGAAAATATGGAGGCAGCATTGTTTACAATTAGAGGTGACAGATTTTCTTACTTTCTAAATAAAATGATCATGAAACAACTCGACCAAAGAAAAGTTGTTAAATATGTTTCTGTTTATCTCCTCACAGAATCAGGTTCTGGGTCGGGTTCTGATTCGGAGCAGGAGAGGCCTCGGTCAGCGAGCAACGCCTCGGGCAGTGAGAGCGAGAGGGAGCGAGATGATGAGGAGGACGATGAGGGACACGAGGCAGGAAAGCCCAGCATGAATCAGGTTGGAGCCCAGTTTGTTTAGGAGCTCGAGCAGTTGTCATGGAGATGTTTTTACCTGCAATAATTCCATGGACGTCAAGTCAGACATGAAGTAGAACTGTCTGTAAATTAGTAAGTTAGTTTAAACTGCTTCTGAAGCAAGAAACTTTATTTTTATGTTCTGTCAGCTACAGTTACTAATAATAAAATTATAGGTATAATAGAAATACATTTATAAGCACTAAGTTGTGTTAAATTGTCTTTCTTGTTGACGTCTTCCTGCCTAACAGGAGCTGTTTGGTGATGACAGCGAGGATGAGCAGCACAGTCAGCACAGCGGCAGCGACAACCAGTCCATACGGTCAGGGAACCAGTCGGATGTCAGCATGCACTCAGACCAGTTGGAGAACGATCACTCCGACGCCGAGCAGCACAGCGGATCGGAGCGCGACCAGCGAGACGAAGACGAGGATGACTTGGGCAACAGGTCGGGCGGAGGAAGCCCAGCCAGCAGTGGAGCATCCGGTGCCGGAAGCCCTCGCTCTGAACGGGGCAGCGCTCGTTCAGACAGAAGGTATCACGACTCAGAGCCCATATCCCCTCTCAGGTTAGCTATGGAATAAAACAAAAAGGAGTTTGTTTTAACTTAAGAAATGAGAACAGGGAGCAGGAGCTGTGTCCGCATCCTCGGCACAAAGTCGAGCTCGTTCTCGATACAGGTTGGACTCCACCAGGACAATTCTTTGACTCTGATCCTGTTTGTGGGCTTCATGGATGGAATCTTAATGGCCAGTTGTGGAAAGGAAGGAGTCTGGTTTGAGAATCTCTGGGTCTTGTCTCTGCTTTATGCAGCCATGACCTTCAGCGTGCACTGGAACAGTTTACAGTCAAGTGTGAAGCAGCTGGGATGAGAGTCTGAGGTCATGGTTCTGAAGTGGGAACAGGTGGAGTCTCTACCTCAGGTGGAGTTCAGGTATCTGGACATCTTGTTCCTGAGTGATGGTACGATTGAGCAGGAGATGGATCCACGGATCAGGGCCTCGTCCTCAGTAATGAGGGCGTTGCTTCGGTCTGTCCCGGTGAAACAAGAGTTAAGTCTAAAGGCAAAACTGTGGATTCACTTGTCTGTCTACGTTCCAACCCTCAAAAGGTTAGGACACCTTCTTTTTTAGGTTTTCCAGGCACATCCCACTGGGAAGAGACATCAGGGGTAGACTCTGAACTCTGTAAGGATTCTAGATCCTCTCTGGTCTGGGAACACCTTGGAGTCCCCAGGAGGAGCTGGAGAGAGTCTCTTGAGGATCGGAGGTCTGGGTTTCTTTACTGGACCTGCTGCCTTCACAATTTTAATTCAAATGGAAGATTAATGGATGGATGGATGGATAACAACATAATTTTGCACTCTTAACAGTTTATTAAAGAAGGTTTGAGCCCCCATGGTAAAATGACTATTTTTAATTTTACAATTCGAATCTATCCAAACTTTCCGTAAATTAAAAAAAAAAAATTGTACTTTGATCTTAAAAATTATGGAAATGTCTGTAAATGAGTCTTGAATTAGAAACTTGAAATGTTGTAGGAACTTTGTGCAGATTCATCGTTCAGCAGGATGAGGCGCCGAGCTGAACTCTGCCTGCTGTTATCCCAGCTATGATGTCACAGAGGTGCCTGCAACTCAGCTCAGGAATAAAAACGTCAATTCGATACCTGACGGGTCAGAACACCTGCAGAGGTCCTGAGGACTTGGTTCCTCTGCAGATCAAAGCTTGAGGATAGAACTATTTCATCAAGTTGTTTACCTGAGTCTTTGTTTTTATTTAGTTGTTTTGTCAGTTTAGACGATGTTTGCAGCTGCTGTTTCACTTTTCTTCCTTTCTTTGTGTTTTTGTTTGGTTCCAGTGTCCGCAGTGATCCCGGGACTCCGCAGTCGGGGCTGGGCACCCCTCACTCCGATGGGGAGGCGTCGGGCAGGGAGAACCAGTCGGACGACGAGAAGTGGGGAGGAGCTAAGAGTGACCAGTCAGAGGACGAGGAGGATAAGCATCGCTATTCTGACGAAGACAGAGAGAACTCTGAGGACGAGGAGTCAAGGAACAGGAAGTCAGGCAAGAGTTGAACTGGATCAGGTTTCTGGTTTAATATCGTATGTAACCGTTTTCTCCTGAGCTTGCTGGTTCATATCACATTAATGCATTGAGCCTGGGAGGTACCAACAGCAGGACCGAGACCCCCCAATTATTTTGGGAAACGTTAACACGTCAATGAAAGAAAAACATGATAAGACCGACTGCTCCAACAATCACTGGATGATTTTTTCCTATTTAAATCAACCTGTTAACAATTTTAAAACTCAATAAGTTTCTGAAGCTCAACTCAAAACCCTCAGCTTGGAGTTTTGTGACCCACGGTTTGGTCCACACTCCAACTTTGGGTCTGGAGAACTTCAGGTTCTGTGGCTGTAACACAAGCCCAAACCACCTCCCCTCTGCCCCTGTGCCTGGCAGTTTGTACGAGGTGTTCACGCCGTGTCTTGGCTCTGCTCTGATTTTTCTTTTCCAGAGTCTGCAAAGGGCAGCGACAGCGAGGACGAGTTCATCAGACAGAAAACCAAACCCAAAGCTGCCTCTGACTCGGACTCGGATAGTGACGGTGAAATGAAGAAACGTGAGAAGAGCGACATCCATTAGCTTCATTGGTTTGTTGCTCCTCTTTGCCTGAAAGTGAAATCTTCTGATTTCTGCAGCGAAGAAAACTGCAGCTGACGATCTATTCGGAGAAGCTGATGACATCTCTTCAGACAGCGATGCAGAGAAGCCTCTGACCCCAGGACAACCTCTGGTATCTGTTCCTCTGAGCCGACCCGGTTCCTCGCAGTTCTTTGGACCCTACGGTTCAAACTAACGTGTGTTTCTGTGAAGGACGGAGAGGATGGGATGGAGGGGGAGCATGCAGAGGAGGAGCCCGCGCCCGAAACGCGTATCGAAGTTGAGATCCCAAAAGTCAGTACGGACTTGGGGTCAGACCTTTATTTTGTAAAGCTGCCCAACTTCCTGTCTGTGGAGCCCAGGTCAGAACCTAGACACCAGAGAAAAACACAAAAACTAAAAGTTTGATGAATGAAAGCTCAAAACTGTTTCACTTTCTCCTGAATGGATCTCTCCAGGCCTTTTGACCCACAATACTACGAGGACGAGTTTGAAGACGAAGAAATGCTGGATGAGGAGGGGCGGACCCGCCTCAAATTGAAGGTCAGAGCCACAGATACAAGGAGTGTTGAAGGACTCAAGAGACTGAAACTGAGCTGAGGAGAAACACAGTTAGAGCTAGAAGAAACAAAACACTAACTAGCTAACAGATAAAAGAAAGGAAACACTAGCTAAAAGGTTAAAAAAAAAACTAGCTAAAAACTAATTATAAATGTTTTTAAAGGAATCCATGGGAAAATATTCATATACATGTTTATATACATGAAAATATACATATACATAATTAAGGACCACACCCACCCAGCACAAGGACTCTTCCATCTACTCCCCTCAGGCAGACGATACAGGAGCCTCTCATCACGCACAAAAAGACTGTTACTACCCATAAGCTATCAGATTACTGAACTATTGACAATAACATTGCACTAAGCCACATCTGGGACACCTAATTTGACTAATATTAGCTGTGACAGCTAATATGTTTATTGCTGCTGCACCATGTGGCTGCATCATGCATGATACAGTATCTGTGTTTCTAACATTTACTATTTTTTCTTTTGGACATAGTACATATTATATTTATATTTTCACTTTTTGGTACTTTATTCTGTACTCTTATTACATGCTTTAGTATTTCTTTTTATTCTTTTTTTTTTTTGTGAGTCAAATCGGTTCTTCCCATCCTGAGCATTTCATTGTGCTGTTGATCTTGTGTTAATCTACATATGACAAATAAACATAACTTGATATTTGTAAATTAAGTTGAATATTTTGAAAACAAACCATTTTGGTATAAAAATTGCACCAAAAAAAATGTCTCAAAGTCTGTAGTAGTTAAATGTAAAAACAAACAGAAAAATAAGAAAACAGCAGAGCTCAGTGTTCAGACAACTAAACCATCTGAAACAGTTTATTTTTATTCATTTTGGACTCATTTTCCCTCCGCAGGTGGAAAACACAATCAGGTGGCGAGCGAAGAGAGACGAGGAGGGGAACGAAACCCGAGAGAGCAACGCTCGGATTGTGAAGTGGTCCGACGGCAGGTGAGCCTCAGATCAGAGTCGTGATGCCCGGAGCGGGCGTCGTTCTGCGTGTCTCTAAATGTCCTGTCCGCACCGCAGCATGTCCCTCCACCTGGGGAACGAGGTGTTCGATGTCTACAAGGCTCCTCTGCAGGGAGACCACAACCACCTGTTCATCCGGCAGGGAACCGGACTGCAGGGACAGGCCGTGTTCAAAACCAAACTCACCTTCAGGTAGGACCAGAGCCTCACACAGTCCTCACCTTGTCAGCTCCCCCACAGCTTACCTGTTATAATTACCCATAATTCCACACAATAATGGCAGCCTCTGTCTGGAAATGTTCTGTGTACCATAAGACCCAGGATCAGCTCCTACAAGCTGCCTGGGTCTCTAGTAAGAACCGTCTAAACCTCTTAGTTCCCCCCAGGTCCACTTGAATGTTTTGTCCTCACAGACCACGTGAGTCCAAACTTGTCCTAATGTCCACCGGTCCTCCTGGCTCCCGCACAGAACTTTAGGATTTGTTTTGATTGCAGCACTCGAACAAAGATTAGAACCAAAGCTGCTCTCAGACAGTTCAGAAAACTTCATTTTGTTGTTTTTAAAAAAGCTTTAACCAACAAAAGTCAAGGATCAGGAGAGACGAAGTTTAGATTATTTTCCTGTAAAATGTAAACATTAAGTTTATTTTATTATTTAAAAAAAACCTTTTCTGCTAAAATACAGAATGACTGCTGAAACCTAAACCTAAGAAGAGAAGTTAAACTAACAAACGACCAGAAAAAAATGGCAGCTAAAGTTGCAAAAGGGTAGCTAAAAGCCCAAAGTAGCTATAGGATAGCTAAAGGTAGGAAAAAGATTAGCTCAAAGCAGCAAAAGAATACAAAAATAAAGTCACTTTGTTGAATCAACCAACAAATTTATCTCCTGGTCTGGGAACACTTCAGGGCCCTCCAGGGAGCTGAGATCGTCTCAGGGGAGAAGTGGAGGTCTGGGTTTCCCTCCTGGACCTGTTGTCTCTGAAACCCAACCATCGATGGATTATTGTCTAAACAAGATTAAAATTAATAGCTTGGTGTTTTTATTCAAAATGTCTTGAAGTAGTTTTCTCCATTTGCACTTTTTGACCCCACAATGACATTTTTGGAGGTATTTTTAAAGTTTTTTTATTTTTTCATTGGGAGTTTTATTATTTTCTGGGAAAACATAAAAAATATTTTAAACATAAACCCCAGAATGTAGCTCTGATGGTTGATTGAACTTTTCTTTTAGATGAATTTTGCTTTCCTTAGAATCAAAGGAGTAAAAAATGACCTTTTAAACATGTTCTGATTAATCATGATTCATTAATTCATCCTAAGTTTTGGCGTGTTTCTGTTTGCAGGCCTCACTCCACAGACAGCGCCACCCACAGGAAGATGACCCTGTCTCTGGCCGACCGCTGCTCCAAGACGCAGAAGATCCGGATCCTCCCCATGGCTGGCAGAGATCCGGAGTCGCAGCGCAACGAAATGATCAAAGTAATGTTGTCGCCCGGTTCTGTTGGTCCTTCCTGAGCTTTGTGTTAACAGTGTTAGCCTGAGGCTAGTTGTTAACGAGCACTGAGCCTGGTTACATAAAGACAACCTGCATTTCTTACATAACGAGGTCAGGCGGTGAAATGGAGACAGTGTCAGCAGGACGTGGGTCTGAGGCAGACCCAAACAAAAACCACTGACAGCATCGCTTCCTGTCTGAGCCCACGGGGACAGTCCGTCCTGCAGTCGAGCTCTGCAGCTTCTTAACGTTTCTCAGTTATTATCCTCCGTTTTTGGTAAACAACTTAATCACAGCAACACAAAGGTGGCAAAGCAGCTTTTTCTGCAAAAGTACAGCCTGTTCTGATGAGGGTTCCTGAAATAAAACGGCAAGTTTGTTTCAGAGCCAGGAAATGATAAAGATTTGCAAACAGTTCAAATAATTTTGTTGCCTAAAACTGAATGTCTGGAAATAAAATGTGTGTTTCTCCCGGCAGAAAGAGGAGGAGCGTCTGCGAGCGTCCATCCGCAGAGAGTCCCAGCAGAGGAGGATGAGGGAGAAGCAACACCAGAGGGGGCTGAGCAGCAGCTACCTGGAGCCCGATCGCTACGATGACGAAGAGGAGGGCGAGGAGGCCATCAGCCTGGCAGCCATCAAGAGCAAATACAAGGGAGGAGGCCTGAGAGGTACAGACGTTAGCCCAACGTCACGCGGAGTTACTTTTACGTAAAATGAAGTTGTACGATTTTCATCTTTTTCCAGAGGAGCGAGCGAGGATCTACTCATCAGATAGTGACGAAGGCTCTGATGAAGACAAAACCCAGAGGCTGATGAAGGCCAAGAAGTTAGACAGTGATGAGGTGGGTGCAGTTCACAGCTGAACAGACAGGGGGCAGCGTCGGGCTGCTGGGCTCAAAGCCGATGTAAACCGAACCTGATCATTTCCATGAGATCTGGCTGTCAGCGGCGTTTAACCTCCTCTCTGTTCTGCAGGAGGGCGAAGGCTCGGGCAAGAGGAAGGCTGAGGATGAGGAAGAAACGGCCACTAAAAAGGCCAAGAAATATGTCATCAGTGATGAAGAGGAGGAGGAGGAGGAGGAGGAGGAACAGGACGATGAATGATAACATCGGTGGCGTTTAAATAGCCATGTTTTGTATATTTTCCTATGACCTGTGTGTGTTTTTTTTTTGTTTATTATGTGTACAGCAGAGGTGAGGATAAATTAAAGATTGTTTTCTGTAACCGCAGCGTGTTTTATTTGATAATTTCATGAATCACGGATGAGTCACTCGGTTGTTGTGAGAAACACGACGTTTGGTTCTGGTTCCAAACTAAAACAAGCAGTACCGTAATTAGATGAACGCCTGATAATTAGGTTAATGTTTCGCACAATGAGTAGGAAAAGAAAACCTGTTCCTCTGGGTGGGTAAAACTGGAGAGTACTGTGCATATGTTTTCATCCTCTTCGCTTCAGAATCGCATGGTTCAGTCAGCTGATCTCAGTACAAACACCTGCGGTCCAACACCTTTAAGTAGTGTGGGAGACTTCATGAAGACCAAGGGCCTCCACAAGTGGGAGACAAAGGTGGAGGGAAAGAGATCAGGGTTCGGTCATAAAACTCAGAACCCCGAACTCCCTGCATAACTCCAATAAACCTGTTATTAATGGAAAGATTATGTCACCTAAACTCCAGTTCTTCCAGGTACCTTTGAAGTACTATGAATTTACTAAGTATGTACCACCATAAGTAACATGCTTTTACTTTGTATGTACTCCCATTAGTACCAAATACGTACCCTGTAGTAATTTGTTTGCACCTTATTACCTAGTAAAAACCCCATTTGTACCCAGTAAATGCCCTCAAAGGTACCTTCTTAGACCCCTGTAGGTACTCTATGTACCTTGATATATACACTTTGGGTGTGTACGGGTCAGTGCAGCCCAGAGCTGTTGGATCATCAGTAGAACTGACAAGTACCCTTTGATGACATCATAAGCCCCCTGGTATGCATGGTACTATAGTACCAGTGAATGTGCTAGGAACCTGTTGGATCATCACAAAGTATTTGGTAAAATATTCGGTTCTGTCAGCTGCTGGAGCAGCGAGGTCGGCTGAGGTCAGGTATTGGGTCTGGGAGCCTCAGCAAGAAGAGAATGCAGAGAAGCTGAGTCCTGGTTACTGATTTATGTTCAGCTGCCAGAATGACGCACAGTGTCACACGCACACATACCCCTTACAGCCCAACAAATCAGGCTGCAGCCGACCTGGGAACAGAACCGGTTAAACAATAACTGGAGGTGAAATAAGAGTTACATAAAAAGTATGTTTTCCCGCCTGACAGCTTCTGCTCGTTTTTGGGAGAAGTTCAGCAGCAGTTAGATCACTTACTGATGTTTTCGCTCCTTTAAACTCTGGGTTGGAGGAGGTTTTAGTGCATCAGCCTTTGCTGGGGGTACGTTAAGCATCCCCTCACCAGCTCAGACCGGGCCTGTGTGCTGGTTCTGGTGTTTTTCGTCTCCCTGCAGCTCTGAGCTCTGCCAACACTTTAATATTTAAATGTGTTGAATGTAAATGCTGTGAGTGTGTGCTGCCTTTTTACACTGCAGTGTTATATAAACCCAGATTCACACAGGGAGGCGGGGGGTGGGGGGGAGGCTCTGCCACAGTCAGCAGTGACTGAGGGGGGAGACAGGGGGAGGGCTGCAGCATTTTAACCTTTTTTTCTTCTGTTTTGTTTTTCCAGTAGCGGAATAGTTGGATTTGGGTTCTGTAACCTGACGGGTTTAATCCTGCAGGCCAACATTAAACCTGGTCTGTCAGAAACACGGGACAGGAAACAACCAGTCCTGTGCTGATCATATTTAACGTTGACTTCACATGAAGAGTCGTCGGCTCCGGTTCTGTTTCATAAGGTTCTGACTATAACTCATGACTTGGATCGACTCCAGAGTTTCAACATTACCGTGGGTCCGTGACATTTAAAAAAAAAAGAGATTAAAATACATTGAACTTTATTATGTCATACAAACTGGTTTTCTTCCTGTCATTAGAATTTTTATAAGGCTTGTTAAAATTAATATTAAAGTAATTTTTATATATTTATTTTATTATGTTTTTAACTAATAATTATAATATGTAAATGTTGAGTCAGCATTCACAGGATTTTTCTGTTAAGTTTCTTACAGATGTAATTTTGCAATTGTTCTATTTGTGCAATACTGTATTAAATTTATAAATTAAATCTTTTGTCTCAATCCATCCATCCATTATCTTTTACCTGCTTCTTCCATTTTGGGTCACGGGGGTCGCTGGTGCCCATGTCCAGCAATCACTGTGCGAGGGGCGGGGTACACTCTCTTGTCTCAATGAGGAATAAATTAAGCTGATTTTTTTTTTTTTTTACTTCTATATGCTTTAAAATACTTAACTACATTTAAAATGAATTAACGGGTACAGTATAGAAACCCAGACATCTCTCTTTGCAGCAACGCTTTCTAGCTCATCCCAGAGCACCCCAGGCGTTCTTAGGCCAGAGAAGATACACAATCCCTCCAGAGAGTTCTGGGTCTTCCCTGGGGCCTACTACTAGTGGGACTTGCCTGGAAAACCTCTAATGGAGGTGTCCAGGAGGCATCTTGATCAGATGCTCAAATCACCTCAACTGACTCCTTTACATGCAGAGGAGCAGCAACTCTACTCCAAGCTCCCCCAGATGACAAAGCTTCTCACCCTATCTTTAAGTCTGAGACCAGCCATCCTGCAAATGAAGTCCATTTCGGCCGCTTGTATCTGGGATCTCGTTCGTTCAGTCATTGTCCTCCAAACCTTGTGACCACAGGTGAGGGTTGGGACATAAACAGACCAGTAAATCAAGAGCTTTGCCTTTCAACTCAGCTCTTTCTTCACCACAACTGACCAAAGCAACACCCTCATTACAGAGGATGTGTCATAAGCTGAGGTTTTAAGGTCGAACCTAATGGTGCAGTCAGGACACTGACGACTCCAGGATGCTACATGGGTCCAGTTTCACTACTTTTTTTGTCTGTCTGAACAGATCTCACTTGTAAATTAGTCTTCTGGGGCTCAGTGTGACTGATCTGTCTAAATAAAGGTTGAATGAATGAATGTAAAATAAATATGATTTATTTAAATAAACAAACACGCCGATGTGGCAGCAAAAACTCACATCAACAGGAGATCCTTGGAAACACAAGGAGCAAGGTAGGCATGAAAAGAAAACGACCAGCTGATGAGGAAAAGTAGACTTAGACTTATATACAAATATTAACAAGACCTAAACACAAAACACCTGTGAAGCATCACAGGTGTGGGAAGCAGGGGGTAATCGCAAAAGGGAGAGCAGGACAGAAACACCACACAAGAGGGTGTCAGACAACAGAAAAACACAATCCCTACAGTCCCCCCCAGGATGTCTCCTGACATCCCCAAAAACCCACGCCCCAAAAACTTGGGTGGGAGGAGGGGGGAACCGACAGGACAGAGGCCACAAAGAAAAAAGCTGAGGGTTAACCTAAAGACTGACAGGGTACCTCAGGGAGCAAGGCACAACAACACACACAAGGAAACACAAACAAATCAGGCAGTCAGGCAACCGTCCAATGGCGGGGCAGAGTTCAAGGTGGACGGCCAGGAGGCCGTACAGCATGGGGCCATAGTTCAGGTGGATGGACGGGGGACCACTCATCACAAGAGCATAGTTCAGGTGGGCGGCCGGGAGGCCATCCAGCACAGGGCGACAGGTCCCGTGGGTGGCTGAAGGTGATGGACACCCTAAGAGACTATGAAGAGACCATGACTGCCCAGCACAGGGAAAGAGGAGTAGAGATATCATAGGTTCTGCGGCTAGCGTGGGAATCTGGGAGACAGCAGCTGTAGCCACGACCAGGAAGGCTGCAGAAGATGATGAGCCCAGGGAAATTGCAGCTGTTATTGAGACCGCAGCTAGTGTAGAGACCTCAGGTGCTGCGAGTGGCGTAGAGACCTCAGGCGCAGCAGGCGGCATACGGACCTCAGGTACCGCGGGTGGCGTAGGGACCTTGGGCACTGCAGGCAGCATAGGGAAGTCAGGTACTGCAGCAGGGGGCATAGCCGCTTCAGATACTGCAGCAGGGGGTGTAGCTGCTTCAGATACTGCAGAAGGGGCGTAGCTGCTTCGGGGACTGCAGCTGGAGGCATGGAACTGCAGCTGAAAAAAAATCCATCCATTCGTCATCTTTACCTGCTTCTTCCTTTTCGGGTCGTGGGGGTCACTGGTGCCCATGTCCAGCCATCTATGTGCGAGAGGCAGGGTACACCCTGGGCAGGTCTCCAGTCCATCACAAGGCCACATTGAGACAAATGAGACAAACAACCATTCACACTCACTCACACCTAGAAACAATTTAGAGTTACCAATCAGCCTAACATGCATGTTTTTGGTCATCTGTGAGATGAATCTGGAGTACCCGGAGAAAGCTCATGCATGCACAGAGAGAACATGCAAACTCCATCCAGACAGGCCCCCCTGCTGGATTTGAACCAGGGCGACAAGCTCTCTGAGAAGCAGCAGCTCTACCAGCTGCGCCACTGCTCTGCCCATTTTAAAAATACTACATGAATATAAATCAAACTGGATCAGAACAGGTGTGTTCTGACTGTGGAAAAGTCACACATGTCTAACCTTGTTTTGGGGTTTTCTTTTGTTTGCAAATATTTGTTCTGTGACTTTTGTTTTATTTAATCTATGAATCTCATCACCCAGAACAAAACAAGTTTGGGTTCCTCGGTTCCGTTCCCCTCCATTCTCATGACGTTCCTCCCCTGCTGTTGCTTATAGAACAAGAGAATAAATAAAACAGAAACACAATACTTTGGTCCCGCAGCAGGGTCCTCACACATGATGGTGACCCAGGGGTCAGAGCCGGAACATTTCCCCTTCACACACATGGTGGCCTGTACTGATCCGGTATCATCTGTTTTTGTTGGGTTTTTTGTTCCTCGTGATTCAGGTCAGCTTGTTCCGATGAAGGCTTGGATCTGTAAATAACAGGTTACCTTCAACTGTGAGCAACTCGGAGCAACAATTAGACTCGAGAAACAATGACAGCACAGGTGACCATTTGGTGCTGCTCTTTCTTTCAGAACCGAGTTAGTCCTCTCTAAAGTCAAACACAGAACCCTTCCTGGTTCTGGAAAAATGTT